TACTACCATTTGGGGCTACAAAGATCTCATCAAAAAAGTAAAGTGGTTAACCAGCAATATGGGAGTTGAGGTAAAATGGGTTAGCAGGTCTGCTAATTCTATGGCTGATTCTTTAGCCAAACAGGGGGTTTCCAGGGAAGACCTTTTTTGTGCTACTTTGTAAACTATTAGTAATCTGGAATTTGTACTTAACTAGCCCAGAGAGGTTGCAACTTGTGCCTCTACTTGGGGACTTTGTACTATTGTCTATTGCTCATTAATAAACTTATTTCAATCATCAAAAAAAAAAAAATCATAAAAAAACAGCTATTACCTTAATTTTTTAATAAAATTTAAGTTATCTATTAAAAGAAAAAATATCTCTAGTCGACTAGGGTTTTGGGCAAAACAAAAAACAGCAATTTCTTGGCATCTTAATAGCCTGATTCTATCTCCAAACCATTCTCCAACTAGGCAGCAACCAACTAAGAAATATCAGCAACCTAACTCTTCGTACACTCTTCCAATCTAAGGGTGTATGGGAATGAAGAGAAAAAAAGAGAGGAGAGGGTTACTCTGATACCAAGATGTGATTCAACGCTAAAGAAGGAGAATATTTTATTCTGAAAATAGAAGAGAAGAAAGAAGATAGCAAGAGAAGAAGAGGAAGAAGGGAGAAGGAGATGAGAGTATGATCAGTTCTCTCTCCTTTCTCCTAATCACTTTTATTAACTTAAACATTAATGAACATAATTACAATGATGCCCTTAATGGGGCGGCCAGTTCATAAACATAACGTATTAGGAACAAAAAGAAGTTATCAGGCCCATTGTCATAAACTTAACTAAGAAAAGCAGACAAGAATAAAAGAGTACTGGGCCCATTTGGCCCAGTCTCTATACATTCATTTATGTAAACTCTCTTAAGTGCTTATACTGAGACTCAAGTTGTTTTGTGTTCATTTACATATATCCTATTTACTGATCAATCTGTTGCTTGTAACATTGCAGAAACGTAGGTTCTAGCACTTTATTATCCAGTTAAGTCTTTGCTTCATCAATCTGGGGCTTCTTATTAAAGTGGGTATGCAGTTGCAGTAGATGCAGGAGCATGAGAATCTTCTTCTTGATCTCCTTGAGTCTACTCGAAGATGCTGCTCTTTTCTGAAGGGATGGATTTGCAGCTTGATTTTGAGGCACTGCATGGTCCCAGTGAGTTGGATTATTGAACTTCCTAATGACTTTACAATGCTTATTATTTGTGGGGTTGCTAGTTTATGATCAGATAATAATAACATTTATCTTTTTCAAAAAAAAGTATCAGATATAGACATTGTTCTTTATTTGCAGATTCAGACTCCAGTCAGCGATTTTTCTAAGTTTTCCACTGAAAGGAGAAGTCCTTATTTAGCTTCTATGGCTTCAGTAGATCCAATAGAAATTAATTCATCAGATAGTGAAGGTGAAGTTCTCCCAGAAAAAGAAACATCATTTCCAAGGGGATCTGCTGCTTCTTCCATTCCTTGGAAGCTTCCATCTTGGGCTTCTACCTCCAGCTCTAATTCACATGGTAAAGTTCAATATATTATGGATGTGAATTCTTTTCATACCTAACTGAGAATATTTATTTATTATCTGGCATTGAGCCATTGCTTAAATATGCAGGTTACGGCGAATCATCTCAAAAGCTTCTGCTGCCTAGAACATATGTTTCTAATAAAGGGCCTGCAGAACAATTTTTTCCTAGTTCTAGTGACAAGGGAGTGACATTGACCCAGCACTTTGGGGAAACAGATGTTCCCAAGCATTTGGAAGAGAATCAGAATGTGGGTCAGCCAGTTGATCCAGAAAAGCTTTCATCCCAAGAAACCTTAAGGAGGAAGCTTCCAGCTTTGCTTCAGTTTTCTGCACCAACTACTAAACCAAAATTTTCTTTGGAGAATGGGGATAGCAGTTGTATGTCTGATGCTTATGGAAGATCTAATCATTCCGTGGGTACAAATGTAACGGATTTTAATATTTACATGAAAGACAATTCAGACAGGGTTGATGATGAAATTGTTATGTATGAAAGTAGTGGAATCAGGGTGCTGCCTTCATCTTTGGTGCAGGGAAGATCTGTTAGTAGTACACACTATGCTTGTTCAAGTAATCCTGTATATGTTTCAGGTTTAGGAGACGAAAAACCTATGGAGAATGATGAGAGACTGATTTTTCAGGCAGCACTGCAGGTATTCCTAATAGCATTCATTAGTTTGTGCTTTCAGGACCTTCCAATATCATTAATATGTTATGATATGATGTGAAACCCCTAGGCTCCTGCAACTAGCCATTGGCAGTTGGAGCTAAATACATTTTCAGTATATATAGAATGATCTTATGGGTTAGTTTATATTTTAAGATAATTAATTACATTGCTTTTGAGCATTCACATAAGAAACTATCTATTTATTTGTTTATTGAAAATGCCATGATTAAAACAATTTGGATGAACTACTTATAAGAAACATAAAAGGAATGATCAGGAGTCCAGTTCATAGCTGCTACATTGTTTAATTGACAAAAGGACTTGGAAAGGTTATTCACTCAACCCTTAACTTTGTGAGGTGATGGCCTGATTAGACATAAATATTGATAACTAATTGGAGAAGGGTTGCTATTTGTACGTTATGAACAAGGTGTTTTGAGAAAGCGGTTATGGAAGGTCTAGTAGTGATGTAGGATGGAAAGGAGAAAGTTCTACTACAGTGTATGTGGTGGGTAAAGAAAGATTTTTTTTTTGATGAGTGGTAAAGAAAAAGAAGTAATAATATGAATTATGAGAGAGATTTTGATCTGTAAGGGAAATTTTCAGCATTACGCGGGAGATTGGGGCTTCATTCAAGTGGACAAGATGGTCAGCTAATGGACTAGCTGATACCTTAGCTAAACAAGGGATTATGAGGAGAATCTACTCTGGGCAGAGCTGTAAAAAGGACTATAATGGGATCAACACCCTATTTCAGGGTTGGCAGTTGTATATACTATTATTTATAAAAAAAGACAGTTGTATATGTTATTTCTTTAACTTTGCTTTAATGATGTTATTAGAGAAAAAAGTGTTCTCCAGTCTATTAGGCAATCAGTGTTGGGTAGGATTGGACAAAGATTGGGTGGTAGGGGAATTACTTATTATTCGAGGGGAGGATAACTTTGATTAAGAGTTGCCTTTCTAATTTTCCAGTTTATTACTTATGTTTATTCAAGGTGACATCTTTGGCTGCAGAATCAATTGAAACGCTGCAGAGGGATTTCTTATAGTGTTAATAGCCAAGAGAAAAAAATATCACTGGCTGAAGTGCAAGTGCATTTGAAGGGACAAAAGCGATGGGGAGCTGGGGATTAGAAGGTTTAGATTATTTAAAAAAAGTTACATTATTTTAAAAAATGCATTTCTGGTGAAGTGGTTGTGGAGGTTCAGTGTGAAAGGGATTCTCTGTGGAGGAAGGTTATGGTATTATGAATTTTGGTTGGAATTCAACTGAGGTGAAATCTTTTTATGAGCTGGTTCTCCCTTTATAAACTCCATTTTAGAGTGGGTAAAAGATAAATGGGGTGAGTTACAAGTAGAAGGGTCTGCAGGCTTTAGATTGGTCAGGAGGCTTCAATTGCTGAAAGGAGAAATCAAGGGTTGGAGTTCAACAGTCTTTGGGGATACAGGAAGAAAAAAGAAGGAAATATTAGAAAAAATGGTCCTCTTGGACAGGTTGGAGGAGGAAAGAACTGTTTCTAAGGTAGAGGAGTCTGATAGACAAAGGCTGGATTGTGAATTAAAAAGAATAATTTACAGAGAAGAGCAGAAATGGAGACAGAAATCAAGATTGACATGGCTGAAAGCAGGTGATAAAAACACTGCCTTCTTTCATGCCTACGCTAATGCTAGGAGGAGGAATTTTATCCCTAGAATTCAGGTGGTGGGGGAGGAGATGGGGGAGGATTGGAACGAAATTCAAAGTAAAGTGATAGTTTTTTACAAGAATTTATCTTCTTCAAGAATTTGGAACTGGATGCCTCTTGGGGAGATGGCTCCAAGGAAGCTGCTGAGTGACGTTTCAGCAACCTGTCTTGAGAGAGATTTTGATTTGGGGGAAGTTAAGGAGGCTTTGAAAGTAATAAATGGGGATAAGGCTCCGTGTCTAGATGGTTTTAATTTCTCATTTATAAAGGCATGCTGGAATATTTTAGAGAATGATTTTGATCAGATGTTCGAAGAATTCCACAAGGAAAAGTGTCTAGAGAAAAGGGCCAATGCTACATTTACATCTTTATTCCCAAAGAGGGATGGTGCGGTAGAGCTGAAGGATTTCAGGCCAATTAGTCTGATCAGCAGCACTTACAAATTATTAGCCAAAGTTTTATCAAAAAGATTGAGGAAATTGAGGTGGTGGGAGAATCGGAAATGGCTTTTGTGGAAGGTAGACAGATTTTGGACGGAGTTTTAGTAGCAAGTGAATGCATAGACTCCAGAATAAGAAGTGGAAGATCTGGGTTAGTGTGCAAGATTGACATTGAGAAAGCCTATGACCATGTGCACGGTTCAAAATATCGATACGCCTCTACCGGCGTATCGGTAGTTTTTTTAGTTTTTTTTTTTCAAATCTGGTTCAGAGCGGCCAGTTTAAGGTCCGTCCACCTCCTGAACTGGTCAAAACCCCGATACACCCTCTGTAGGGGCGTATCGGGAAGCTCCTGATACGATACGTATCGGCTGATACGGGCTGATACGTATCGATACTTTGAACCTTGACCATGTGGAGTGGGGATTTCTAGAAGAGATACAAAGGCTGATGGGTTTTGGAGAGAAGTGGAGTAGCTGGATGTTTGCTTGCATATCTACAGTGTCATATTCCATTCTTATTAATGATATCTCTACGGAAATTTTCCAAGCTTCGAGGGGCTTAAGGCAAGGAGACCCTCTTTCTCCTATGCTCTTTGTCTTGGCAAACTTTGAGCTGTTACAGGGCTGAAGGTGAACTTATCAAGAAATGTGTTGATTTGAGTTGGGAGGGTTAAAATGGAGGTTCTAATGGAATGCACTGAAGCCTTTGAATATAAAATTGGAGAACTCCCCTTTATTTACTTAGGCATGCCAATTGGGGGATCCTCAAAATCAGGTGCATCATGGAGAATAATAGTGGAAAGAGTGGAGAAGAGGCTGGATGGGTGGAAGGTAAAATACTTATCTTTGGGGGAAGAATAACCTTAATAAAGAGTGCCCTCTCAAATCTTCCGGTTTAATACTTATCCTTACTTAGAATTCCATCACAAGTGGCTGAAAGAATTGAAAAAATTCAAAGGGATTTTCTTTGGGAAGGATTTCCGGTTTACTACTTATCCTTACCTCCACTTCCATGTTAACCACCTCTTCCAAGTCAAGCCCACTGTGCACAGCAGGTTTTCCTTGACTTCTTGACATGACCCAAACACCTCATCTGCCTTCTCCATCCCTTTTCCCCTTCTACAAATCTCCCATGACAAACTCCATTTCTTTCAAAGGAAATCCCCTTCTCAACCTTCGACTGAGGAGCCATTTTACTCTTAGACTGCAAGCAATCAACTTCTTCTACTTCTCAAAGCACATCAGATTTGTGGAGAACGTGCTTTATTCTAGTTAACTAACCAATAACATCAAAATCATACAAAACAGACAACATTTGACCCCTGAAGAACAGGTTGAAAGAAAATTGACATAAGTTCATTTCAACTTTTTAAAATATTAAAAACTATTTGATAAGACTCAATAAACTAATTTGCCTCTTAATAAGACTCAAATTGATCAACACCAGAAACATCAAAAGATTATACAATTGCCACAATAAGGAATTCTGTCCTTAGGAGTCTTCTTGGCCTATAGGACCTGTGTATAATGCCAAGCTAACACTTTTACCATCTCTAAAGCCTCCACCAATGTCTGACCTTCCTGGGGTTCCTCATACTATACTACTCCCGTCAAAGTTAAGTTTGCCAAGATGTATACTAAAGAGATAACCAAAGGGGCGTAACTTTTGGTTGTGTGGTCAAGTTTGCAATCAACACCTTTCCCTAGCTATATTATCTGTAGGGAAGGAATCAAATATAGGCAAGGTTTTCATCCAATGTGATTTTTTTTGTCATTATTGTCTCTAATAGAGCATCTTTGGAGTGAAAGCATCATTTCAGCTTATTTTTACCCACTTCTTTGGAGTGTGTCTAATCATTTTGTTAGCGAGTCTCCAAAGACTTAGTTTATTGGAGATATGACTGAAGGTTATCAAGAAACTATCTTCATACCTTTTGAAAGATACCACTGCCTTGTTAGAATTATCTTCATGAAGCCCACTCTAGTCCCTATAATGAAACTTCCAGCCTCCTGAAGACTAAGAATTGCAGATTTAGTGAACAAGTAGAAAATTTTAGCTTTTAGGTGTCTATTCAATGGCATCTTTCTTGTTATTCTCTAACAAAGCTTTCTGCTTACAAGTCCCTATTGGGAGTGCCCCAGTAGGGACACTATTGGTTCTAAGCTTACATATAAGAAAGCTATTTGTCACAGGAATCAAAGAGCTAAAATTGCAAATTTCTGGATTTTTTTCATGTATTTCTGTATTTTTGGACATTAGGAGTATTATGATCATCTTACATATTATCTATTGGGTCTGGCTCTATGTTTGACTTGTTTAGTCATAGTTTCTCAATGATTATTTGTTTAGTCCTGGTTTATCCATGTTTAAAATTTTAGTGTCATTGGTTAATCTGTTTAGCAGTTACTGTATTTCTTATGATAGTGGTAAATTTGTAATTTTTGTATTTTCTAGTTCAAGTAGGATTGGCCAACCTAGTCACATAGTGTCTATTATTATATATGTAGAGTGCAAATAACATGCGAGTTGAAATTGAGTTTACTTGCATTTCTTATAGCTTGTGCTAATAGCGGTAAGTGGTTCTAGGTATCTTGTTGAGTAATTCTGGGTTTCTCTCTCTATCTCCCTCTAGTTTTGTAAATGTCCATTAAAGTCATTAACATGCCATAGTTCTTCATCAAAAGGGTTCAACCAGCAGATCTAAAGGTCTAAAGTTGATTTAAGTACATTTGTTCTTTAGTTTACACCAAAATCCAAAAATTTGCCCCTTTTCCTATTTTCATTCTTTTGTACAAAACCATCTTCAATTACTCCCATAATTGGGTGCCCCCATATATATTCATAACCTTTCATATCACCAAGATTCCACTTAGAACCCTTGATTCTATTATTTTTGTTTTGCTTCATGAAACTTAATTTTCATCCATTTGTATGCTTTTGCTTGAAGGTGTTGCCTTAACATCTTAACAACTTGTACTCTTTTTTTTTAATGAAATCTTTTCTTCTACTATCAAAGAAATAGTTCTGAAGAGGGAAAAAAATTAGAGATGCAAACGGATTGGATTGTATTCGAATCAGGGTATATTCGAATATGATCTGACACTGTTCATGTCGGATCCAATCCGATCAGATCTGATAGGACTCGACTTGAATTCGAATCCTACCGGTAAGTCGAATCTTCGGATCTGATCCGATCTAACTTGTATTTTTTAAAAATTAATAAATTATTAAAAGAAAAGTAAATTATACTAATTTGAATAAAGTAAAAACAAAAAATACAAGGATTTTTTAATTATTTTCATCATATATATACATGTTTTTTATAAAAAAATAAATAATATAACAAATTTATAAAAATCTAATATAAAAAATATATTTATAAATAAATAAATAACGTATATATGTATGTATTTATATATTTATATATACAAATATATAATATATATTGGATCGGATAGGGGGATCTGGATCCGGATCCGGTCTGAAGATCCAAACAGGAGTGATCCGAATTTGATCATATAGGATCAGATCGGATCATGATCTGATCCATTTGCACCCCTGAAAAAATGCAGAAAGAAGTCCCTGTGGCCATTATGTGGATGGTGTAGAAAGATTCAGATAATCATTGGTAGATTTTTCCGTAAGTGGATCCAAGGGTGAGATTTGAAGTGAACCCCTTGGGGTTCAGGATTCAGAATGCAAATGATAGAATTTTGACAATGCTGTATTTGGATTGTGAAGATCAGTAGTTAATCGTCATGATATATTGATATATTTATAGATGGTGATGGCTGGGAGATGGAGAAGAGATGTTGACATCGAAGCTAAGAAATTCTGCTTTTTGGTTCAGGTTTTGAAATTTTTGAGGGTTCAATCAAGGATCAAAATTTCGATACGATATGCCCCGTATCAGGTGTATTGTATTGTATCTTTGGGGTCCCGATACCTGTTAATATATATATTTAAAAATGAAATTGAAAACCAAAGAAATAAAAAAAATATAGGGGGAGTATCGCTATAAGTACTGATACACCTCTGCCAATACACAGGTGTATCGATACTTTGAACCATGGGTTCAATACAGCAGTTAGCAATGTTTGTGTTGATTAAACCCTAACAAAATAAGAAAATAATAAAAAGAAATTAGTATATAAACACATAAAATGAATATTCTAGTTTAATATTGTCTATTATATAATTATAATGCCAAAAAATAAAAAATATAAAAGTATTTTATAACCCAGTGCACAAAACTGCTTGGCGACTGGGCAAGGCGAGCCTCCAAGGGCGCCTTGTCGCCTAGGCGTCACCTTGACAACTATGATCATAAGGTTTCTCAATGCCATTCACTAGCCATTAATACCTCATCCGAAGTTTGCATTTCTTCCACAAATGCCATTTAGGTTTCTCCCACCATCTCATGAATTACTCCCCTCAACTTCTTGGACAACACCTTAGCTAATAACTTGTAAGGTTTGCTAATCAAGATTATTGGCCTGAAATCTTTTATGTTCACTGCTCCGTCCTTTTGGATTAGTGTGATGGTGACATTAATTCTCTTGTCAAGTTCTTTCACATCACAAATCTCCTTGATCAACTGAACGAAGTCTTCTTCCAAGAAACTCCAATTAGCCTTAATAAGATTGAATTTGAACCCATCTGGTCCTGGCCTTTATCCCCATTTATCCTTCTCAGAGCTTCTCTAACTTCTTCAATCTCAATCTCTCTTTCCAACCAATTTGCTGAAAAATTGCTTAGGCTCCAAGCCCCCTAGAGTCACCCAACTCCATTCCCTCTCCCCATAAAGGCCCTTGTAGAATTCCATTACCTTCTTCTGAATCCCTTCCCATGTATCCACCATATCTTCCCCTATCTCAATTCTTGTAATAAGGTTTCTCCTCCTGGCACTTGCAAATGCATGAAAATATGCTGAATTTTTATCCCCCTCTCTTAGAGAAATAGCCCTTGACTTCTGCCTCCATCTTATTTCTTTCTTCAAAATAATTCTTTCCAAACCTCTTCTCAACCCTTCCTTTTCCAGTTGAGCCTCCCTTGTTAATGCCCCTTATTCTTCTAGCCTGTCCAGCCTTGACATCCCTTCCAGAAGAGGCTACATTGTGCAGAACATGCTGGAAATTAGGTCTGTATGCAGTCTACTCCCATGACCATGGATAACTGGTAGTCTGGTACCAGCATGGTGCAATCCCTTTATGGCTACATGGGGTAATTCCTTTATTGAGGATCTTTAGGTACTCATTAACAGAATGTATGGCTCTAGTGTCTAGATAGTCCTAAAAGTAGAAATTGGTTTCATAGTTCCTACTCCACATCAGTGGGATAAGGGAGGTGGTGGTGGTGGTGATGATATAGTCTTTTTGCAAGAATCCCGCATGTTGCATTGGTGGTGGTGACAGTTCCAATACCATGCAGGTTTGCAGACCAGAGTCCTCAAATAATTGTGGAAGATTAGTTTCAGCCTTTAAGGTGTCAATGTAGTAACTGCTTTGTTCCTATAGTCCTTTGTATAGGTTTTCTCTTGTTTTGTTTACAATTTTCTTTTATTAAAATTTCCCCTACTGCTACAAGAAAACTGAGGGAGATAGTTTCAGACTACTATATGCAGTCTTTTTGAAACTTCCCACTGTGAAAGACACTGTATTCTCTTTAACATGGAAATGGTACTTAAAGTTTTAAACCAAGTTTCAGTGGTTTGCTGTTTCAAACTTGAGTTTAAATTTAATTATTTTGTTCATTGTTTGTTGCAGGATCTTTCTCAGCCAAAACTAGAGGCTACTCCACCTGATGGTCTTTTGGCAGTGCCTCTTTTAAGACACCAGGTTTGCTTTTTTATAGTCTGTAGCTTCATTGAAATTAATTCATTTTCTTTCTATTTTGGAACTCAGTGTGTTTAATTGTCCTATTACAGAAAATTGCCTTGGCATGGATGCTTCAGAAGGAGTTACCTAATTATAACTGTTTAGGTGGAATTCTAGCAGATGATCAGGTTGCTTGTCTGGAGTTCGGTTGACTCCCTAGGTTTTGTTTGTGTTTGATGCATTGTTTTGGATATTTGCTTAACATTTTAGTGAGGCTTATCATGTTGTTGTTTCACAGGGCCTTGGTAAGACTGTATCGATGATTGCCCTTATACAAATGCAGAGGCATCAACAGCCAAAATCAACTTCAGATGTTCTATGCAATCCTGGAACTGAAGCATTGAGTTTGGATGATGATGATGACGATGATGATGTTGGCACTTTTGAGCCTGAAAAATTAAAGTGTAGTGGAGAATCTGATGGTGTCAAAATGATTTCAGAAGTAAGTACTTCTGTAACTGCCTTTCGATCAGGAAGGCCAGCGGCAGGCACATTGGTTGTCTGCCCAGCAAGTGTTCTTCGTCAATGGGCCAGGGAACTAGATGATAAAGTTGCTGATGGTGCTAAGCTCTCTGTTTTGGTCTATCATGGAGGTACTAGGACCAGAGATCCTGTTGAGTTGGCAAAATATGATGTAGTTCTCACTACTTATTCTATTGTAACTAATGAAGTTCCAAAGCAACCTCTAGTTGATGACGAAGAAGGTAGTCAAAGAATTTCTGAAAAGTATGGACTATCTTCTGAGTTTGTGATGAACAAGAAAAGGAAAATGGCATCTAATACTGGTTGTAAGAAGGGAAAGAAGGGTAAGAAAGGAATTAATGGTTCGATTATTGATTCAGACAGTGGTCCACTTGCAAGAGTGGTTTGGTCTAGGGTAATACTGGATGAAGCTCAAACCATAAAAAACCACAGAACTCAGGTATCTAGAGCTTGCAGTGGCCTCCGAGCCAAAAGGAGGTGGTGCTTATCTGGAACTCCTATACAAAATGCAATTGATGATCTGTACAGCTATTTCAGATTTTTGAAATATGATCCATACACTACCTATAAGACATTTTGCGATAATATAAAATATCAAATATCCAAAGATCCAACCCTTGGTTACAGGAAGCTTCGAGCAATTCTGAAGCCCATATTGTTGCGCCGTACTAAAGGTGAGAATTCCCACCATTTTCCTTTAAAAAGTTTGGATTGATTGAATCATCTCATACACAAGCCTTTTTACTATTCTTCTTTTGATAGATAATGATATCTAGAAGATTCTGTGGGTGATAGCTTATCACCTTGTTGTATTTTCTTCCTCTTTATTAAAATTTTATGGTTTTGGAGATTTGGGTGGGCTGTGAAGTTCTTTTCTTTCTCTTGGGTGATTTCTGGATACCTTTCTTGTAATCGTCTTTCTTTTTTTTTTTTCTCTTAATAAATTTTATTTTATTATTAAAAGCCAAATGTGCGGGGGATACTTCTACCGATGATTTTAGACCCATATGCCTCATCACGAGTTTATACAAAGTTTTGGCTAAGGTGCTTTCATTGAGGCTAAAAGAGATGCTTCATTTAGTGCTATTCATAGTTGCAATATCCCCAAACACTTCTAGTTATTGATGGCTCTACCACCTTCATTTTTGTTTCTTGTAGGCACAAAACATCAGGCCTCTGCTACTTCAATGAACTTGTTACTACTCTTTTGTAGCTTGAGTTTAGGCCTCTCATGTCCCATGATATAATCTTTGTAGTTACTTCTCAAAAGTACTTTCCATCCCAACATCCATCTTAGCAATTTCTCTCCTATTAGCCATCCTTATTACTAGTTGGTATCGAACCCACCTACTAGTTTAAATCCCATGATAGCATGAACAACTCCCTGTCATTTCTCCTCTAACATGCTTCTTTTGACCTCCATCAAATATGCCTTGGTTTCTTCTAATCCTTTCATTTATACCCCCAAGAACTTGCTGAATAGTAGTAACTTTGACATTACCCAAGCGGAAGATTCATTTTGGCTCCCCCTGGCATTCCCTCCCAAGGGCCAGTCCCATTGTGCCCTTTCTCCTTTTTTGATTACTAAAGGTGTTCTCCCTTATGAGTAGCCATTATTCTGTTGGTAGCATTGCTAATGGCTTCACTTCCATGGTTTCAAAGCTTTCTATTGGAGTAACTTCTCCTATAATTAAGTCTTATTCAATCGGAACCAATTCCTCCCTTGTGTATTACATAGCCAAGGTAGCTCCACTTCTTGCCTTCCACCTGATCATTTGTTTCGCCAAAAGAAGCTTCACTGTCTTCCCATTTGTTTGACATTAGACTCTAGCTAAATGGTCTTGTTAGTGCCTGTTTCATTAAGCCTTTCCTTCATTCTTGCTCACTTTGGCCTCCTTAGCTTTTTCGAACATCTTCTCAAATTTTGCTTAGGAGAGCTTCAACTAAATCTATTTATACATGGTGATCCTCTATTTCTTGCCTCGATTCATGTCTTGGTTGAGATGTCTCCATTAATTCTTGATCCCAGTCCAACATTATGCTTGACTTGATCCTATCCTGATTCCACTCCCTCACTAAAGTTCTTTCCCTGCCCAATTGCCTTTGATATATCTTTTGCCTCCTTTGATTGTTGTTACCTGTTCCTATTTCACCCTCAGCAAATCTTTCTTCTATACACTTCGAGACATTTTGAAACCACCTTTTGAATTAAAGCTTCTTCATTTGAAATTTAAAGTTTGAACTGTTTTAGATGTCTTTAAACTTTGAGGCCCTTGCTTTCCCTCTGATTGCATTGGACGATTAGGCTTCCATCTCGCCTGACATCTCCTGCTACATCAGAACTGTGCCCTCCCCAGCTGCCACCTCATCCTATACTATTGTTGGACAGCACCCTTTTTTTGATAAATGAAGAAGAGTTTATTCATTCAAAAGGTCAAGGAAATACAAGAATCCCTAAGAAAGGCGCGAGCTGTGTCCTCTCCAATAAAAGAAATGCTTTCTATTTACCCCTTGCTTGGATAAACAATCAGAGGCAACACCCTTTCCCTCTGATTGCATCGGATGATTAGGCTTCCATCTCGCCTGACATCTCCTGCTACATCAGAACTGAGGCCCTCCCCAGCTGCCATCTCATCCTATACTATTGTTGAGCAACACCCTTCTTTTGATCAGTGAAGAAGAATTTCGTTTTTCATTTACTTAAATTCCATTTGATCAGTGAAGAAAAATTTATTCATTCAAAAGGTCAAGGAAATACAAGAATCCCGAAGAAAGGCCTGAGCTGTGTCCTCTCCAATAAAAAATGCTCTCTATCTACCCACCCATTGTATGCTCATATTCTGTGTTAGCCAGTTGAATTTTTTGGTTTCATTCCTATAGCACCAGATGACATATTCTAAGTCCTTCAACCACCCCACCACCACCTTTGAGTCCCCTTCTATCAGTAGAGACTCCACACCAAGCTGATTTGCAATCTTCTGGGCAACACCCTTTCTACTCAACTGCCATGCTAGCGCCTTCTTCAGTATGCTTTGGCTGAGCTAATAGGTCTTCCTTGCAAATCTCCATTCCTTTGATTCTTCTCCTGACCTTTGCTTACTATGTTCTGTCCTGTTGGGCCAAACTATTATCATGGGCATGCTATCTCCGTCCTACACATTGTTGTCTCTTGCAGTCTTGCTCTGTTGGATTTATCTTTCTACAAGTAACCCCTACAAAGTTCCCCTATTTGTCTTACCACTCAATTGACCATTGATGAAGTGGGTAAGTCGTAAATCCTTACCCAAAAGGCCTTTTTTGTTTTCATCTCCCATTGTAACCTGCTCATGTTCCAAGGGATTAGGTGTAGCAACTCCCCTTCATATTTCTATCTCCTATCCTTCATATACTGCTTACCTCTTCTTCAGTTGACATGATGAATAGTATTCTAGAGTTAGGCAATCATCGAACTCTAACCCCCTTTCTGGATCTCCAGCATCTCCATGCCCACTATTGTATTTCATTTAGTGATGTTAATGATTCGGTTAGCACTGGTTCAGTTCTAGGTCTGAAATAAGAAAGAAAGAGAAAGATAAGATCAGCTGACTCCCTTCTTATTTATAGGTTATGTATTTTGAACTACAAAGACAATTATGTCCCTCATTAAGTGTGGGATACAACTTAAACAAAGACAAAATAGACAACTCAACTCTAATTACATGACAAAAGACCAAACTACCCTTATGGCTGCCGGCTCTAACACTCCCCCTCAAGCTGGTGAGTATATGTCATTATAATCTCAGCTTGTTACATATGTAATCCACTCTCCCCTGACTCAACCCTTTTTGTAAACAAATCTACCCATTGATTTCTTGAATTAACATGTGCTGTACTTATCACTCCACTGAGCATCTTTTCTCTTACAAGGTGGCAATCAACTTTTATATGCTTTGTTTTCTCGTGGAAAACTGGGTTAGAGGAAATGTGGATTGCGGCTTGATTGTCATGGTACAACTTCATAGGTCTGTAAATTGAGAATCCCATTTGCAAAAGATTTATTAGCCACACTAGTTCACATGTAGTATGTGCCATGGCCCTATATTCAGCTTCAACACTACTTCTTGCTACTACAATTTGTTATCCAAACCACCAGATTTCCCCCAAGGAAGGTACAATACTCTATAGTGTATCTCCTATCAAAAACTGAGCCAGTCCAATCGGCATCTATTTACCCCTCTATCGCAAGAGTTCCTCCATTCTTGTATAACAGTCTACGACTTGGAGCTCCCTTCAAATGTCGAACAATCCTCAGAACTACATCCCTGTGTGGAACTCAAGGATGTTGCATAAACTGACTTGCCACACACTACAAATAATATAGCTGGCCAAGTAATAGTCAAGTAGTTCAACTTACCCACCAACCTTCTGTACCTCTCAAGATCTTTAAACTCTTGACTTGCATTAGTACTTAATTTGACATTTGGTTTCATAGGTGTTTTAGTTGGTTTGGCACTTCACAGTTTTGTCTCGTCTAGCAAGTCAAGAACATATTTTCTTTGGCACAAGTTAATACCATGCTTTGACCTTGCAACTTTTATTCCCAAAAAACATATCAGTCTATGTAGGTTTTTTATTTGTAAGTGATCATGCAAAAAAGTCTTCAATCTGTCAATCCTCATACTATCACTACTAGTTATGACAATGCCATCTACATATACCGCTAACAAAATTTTTCCGGCCTCCAATTCATAACTAAACATAGAATGATCTACCTGACACTATTTCATACCAGTCTTTTACCACTTTATGAACTTGCCAAATCACGCATGTAGAGATTGTTTCAATCTGTAGATTGCCTTCCTAAGTCTGCAAACCTTACCATCCTCCTCCTGAACAACAAACCCTAGTGATTGCTCCATATATACTTCCTCAAGAAGGTCACTATGTAAAAAGGCATTTTTAATGTCAAACTGAAAGAGAGGCCAATCATGCTGCTAAAGAAATCAACAATCAGACAAAACTAATCTTAGCCACTAGAGATAAAGTTTTTGTGTGGTCAATACCATATAACTGAGAGTAACTTTTAGCCACTAACCAAGCCTTCAACCTTTCCACATTGCTATCTGATAAATATTTCACAGATCACAGTATACACCCACTTACATCTGACAACATGTTTACTAGGAGGGAGAGTGGTAAGCTCTCACATGTGATTGCATGCCATTGTAGACAATTCCTCTTCCATTGCTTGACGCCACACTAGGGAGGTAATGGCTTCGTGGACATTCTTAGGGATGGAGATAGAGGATAAAAGAGATAGTTGTCGGCGCGAAGTAGAAAGTTGAGCAACTGAAACATAATTGGGAATAGGATGAGAAGTACAACTATGTTTACCTTTTCGCAATGCAATGAGAAGATCAAGGTCAAAAGGAGGGTTGAATTCTCTGAAGGTCCAATAGAAATTCTCCGGAGTCAGGCAAATACCTCCTCAAGGGAGGGAAGAGTAGATCCGCCTAGTATTTGTGTTCTAACAAGCTCATAATCTGTGTATCCTCTTGTTCCCACTTACTGTACCCCTGAGATTCAGCTGAGGGTTTCTTCTCCTTCACATGCTTTACCTTCTTGACTCTTAGAAACACTTCCATCAACTTAGCCTATGGCACATAATTCTCACTATTTAATTTGATGGATGTCATTTGTAAATCATAACACCTGATTTATTATCACTACCCTCTCCAATTATTGCCATTGTTTAAAAGAAAAACAGGAAAAAGTTCAAACACTCACTGTCGTAGGGTTCAGTACTGAAACTTATTGCTGGCACACACAGTCAGACACGAATGGGAAGGAAAATGAGTCCCTACACATACCTGCTAACCAGCACTGCCAAACAATTGAAATCCACTCTGAGAGGGGGAGAAAACACCATGCTATCAGCCGATTATGAAGACCTATTAACACCTGCCCACAAACCATCCCTGTTCTAGTCATTGAGTAGAGGGTTTCTAGCACACCACTGAAAACAAACACCACAATTACTTGAGGCATGGCTACCTCCTAGAAGGAAAAATGGTCAACCCTTTTTGGCCTCATATTGATCTTCCAACTGGTTGATGAGATATGTCAAGAATTCAGACCTGATACGGTGATGTAAAGAGAAAAAATAGGAAGAAGAAAAACAGATTTCTAGACTGATTTCCAGAGCTCTGATACCATGTTAATGGTTCGGTTAGCACTGGTTCAGTTCTAGGTCTGAAATAAGAAAGAAAGAGAGAATAAAAATAGAGAGTTCGGCCAGAGAAAAAAGAACAGTCTCTCAGCCAACTCCACTCTTACTTGTAGGTTATGTATCTTGAACTACAAAGACAATTATGCCCCTCATTAAATGTGGGCCACATAACTTAAACAAAGACAAAGTAGACAACTCAACTCTAATTACATGACAAAAGACCAGATTACCCTTATGGCTGCCGACTCTAACAAGTGGTTTTTTTTTTGAATTTACTGACCCTACCAAACATAACTTCACGAAGGCTCCTCTCCTTAACCTCCTTCCAATCCACTTCTAGATAGAATTGCTTCTTTCCTAGTTTCAATGGAGTACTCACTTCCATCATCCACCCACATCTCTTTGTCACTTCTACCTTACAATCTCTTATTCCTATATTTCCAATCCCCATCCTCTTTTTCTTTTACCCCAATGACCACTTTCCTGGTTCTCCCTTCAATCCATGTTGTTCCTCCTTCCTCCTTTCTCCGTCCTTGTACCACATTCCATCCCCTTCAATCTTCCTGAGATTCCATCTCACTAGGAGATGCCTCATGCCAGAGAGTTACCAGATGCTTGCACCAGGGAAGTTACCAGTCCCTGAATAATGTTTTAGGACATCTGGATTCTCTATGGACCCATGAAATCTTTAGATTTAACTGTATTAAGTATTATATGGAAACCTATTAGCTTCAATGGTTTTTGATTCCTTTGGTCTTGCTATCAGCATAAAGAGTTTTCTTGGCCATGTGTAGAAATTTGTGTAACTTTAGCTGATATGGGACATGTAATGTGAATGTATTGAATACTAATGGCTCTGAATCACTGGTTATCATCTGTAATTTTGGATTAGGTACACTGATTGGCGGGGAACCTATTATTAACTTACCGCCAAAAGTAGTACTTCTAAAAAAGGTAGAATTCACTTCTGAGGAGCGGGCCTTCTATTCCCAGCTTGAAGCAGATTCAAGGTCACAGTTCAAGGTACTGATCTGTTTACTATCCTATATTTATTTTGAGGGTGCTAAATATACTGATGGGTCATTCATAAGGGTTGGCTTTTGATGCACTGAAATGAAACTTGTTGAGTATGCTGCTTCATTGCTTCTTATATCAAACATTTATTTTTATTTTTATTTTATTTTTTGCTTTTTGTCATTTTTTTGTTAAGAGATGGAAAATGCAGAGGTATAGAAGATCAGAGATAAGGATCAGCTATTCAAAGTATGTTTTTTTTCATTTTTGTAAATTAAATAAAATATCATGTGGTGTTGGAATGTTATCTTTATTTCTTATGTTTGTATTCTGCTGAGTTAGGGTCCGTTTGGACTAGTTAAAAGTAGTTTTTTCCTTTGTTTTTTGTGCTGTAACTTAAGTAGGGGCATAAGGGTCCTTTCCCTTATAATTATGGTCACCCTATATATATTAATATAAACTGGCGCTGCCAGTCATAGTAGTTGACTCCAAAACTCTCTCTTCTCTTCTCTTCTCCTTCCTCTTTTCTCCTCTATTCGGTTGTTAATATGGTATTAGAGCAGTTCTGCTAGGCCTGTGAGCAGATCGAACAAGTTTCAACTTCCTCAACTTGCTGTCTTCTTCAACTGAGATCAAAAGTACAGACCTACGACTAGTACAAATCCTTTTAATATTTTTTTTCTTTTATCTTGGTCGTGTACCAAGAAAAAAACATATGAATCCAAACTGCTGAATGCCTTCTAAGAAGCTGTGAGGTTCGAACCTCTTCTTTTATGGATCGTGTGATCCCATATCTGAGAATATAGATCTGTAGGTCGTGAATGACCTGATTTTTTTTACCCCTTGTGGTGTAACTGTACTGGTTTATGACCCCTCCTAACAGTCGATGTGTTTGGGTGGTCTGGAAGTTGGTGGAGTGTGACTGTTAGGTTAGTTCAAATCTGAGATCTGCTAGACAGTGTATGCCCTTAGCTCCAATCAGCATGATGTACATTATGACATTTATTGTAAATGAATAAAATACATATTTGATTCATGTTATTGTAGTGTGTTTCTGTGTAATACCCTTAAGTTGGACACATATGAGACTCGTGTTAGTTTAGAATCTTCACTGCCGTTGGATAGATCTGAGGAGATTTATCCTACCAAGGCTGACACTGATATATCGCCAAGTTGATTGGGGTGGCTTGTCTTAGCTGCCAGGGTGAGACCTGATGTACATCCAGTGTGGGTTTTCTTGAAACTTTTAACCGGACCAAAATTCCAGTATTGCCCTGAACCTTGGAGATAGATGGTTAAAACCGGAATGTTACACCTGACCCCTAGACTCGATTATGATACTACACTAGGTGTCGGATTGGGCTGCCTTTGATGTGCCAAGCAGTGAGATCCTTAGAGGGGGTCAAAACATAAGTATGTTGGGACAGTCCGAGAATTCATCTGAGTGGGTGATCATGGTGACCGGATCAACCCCTTTGTCGGACAAAGGTAATGATCGGGAAGGCACTCTCTCTGATGGAAACCTAAACTGCCGGCAGTGGATTTCAAATGTGTTTGAAATTTGGTTTTGCAAAATATATTTATATAGAGATATACTTATATATATTATGGTTTCAAAATGTTTGCAAAATGTTTTATTTCCCGGGATCCATGTGAGTAGAGAATGCAGTACTGTTCCTTGTAGCCGAGGGAGAGGTTCTCTCTTGTCGGGTAGTGTTTGATCATTATGGGCTGGGAGGTTAAGTATAAGACCATTGAGGGTAATACCTGATGGGTTAATCTTGCATCTGCCCACAGTCCTTGGGTTTTCATAAGGTGGTTGGGCCCAAGGAACATTTAGTGTAAATGTTGGGCCCATTAAGAGTCTATAGTGATGGACTGGGGTTCACTGTCTCCTACAGTGAATTCGGCCAGGCCTTGTAATAAAGGCTGGGCTGAACCCATGTGGCTGATGTGTAGATCAATGTTTGGGACCCATGCCATATAAAGAGAGCCAATTGGGCAACAGGTTAAGAGGTTAAGTGAGCACATAAACTTAATGGGCCTAAAGCCCAATTTCGAACTGGGTTAATTAGATTAATTAAATAGGGGCGGATCTGGGTTTGGATCAGTAGATAAGGATAAGAGGATGAGTCTTATCCACTTAAAGAGTTCAGATCTAAATAAAGATTTGGATAAGAAAACTCCTAATTTGATTAGGATTAAGCTGATCTTGAACTACAGATAAGATAAGGGATTATCCTTATCACTTAAAGAGTCCAGATTTGGAAACAGATTAGGAGGTTGTCTCTTTAAGGCTATAAATAAGAGAGTAGGGCGGACATGAAAAAGACACCAGATACAAGACAACAATCTGCAGAGTTCTTCCCTGTTCTTGCTCCCCTACCCAGTTCGATCTCCACTTGTGGGAGTGATCAAGAATTGTTCTTGATATTGCTTCTTGGTAGAAGAAGCAATTTGAAGTTGTGCTCACCAGCCATCTACTCCATTCTTGCTGAAGAATTTGGTTCTTGCTGAAGAGCCGTCCTGTTGATCCTACTTCACCACACATTGTGTCATCTTCAGTGGAAGCGGGTTTTGGTTATCTCCTTGGGCGTGAACACCTTCATTGGGAGTTACTACTACGTATCAGATATGTCATTCTCCTCCCTTTTGGTTTCAGATATGGTTCTGTTTGATTCAAGATTGATCATTGAAAATGCAGTTTTCTAAAATAGGGAATGCGATTTCCACATAGGAGAGAAATTTTTTAAATTTCGCCCAACCTTTCTGTAGGGTTCAGCCATCCATATGATGGATCTCTCATCCCTTCAAGATCAACCTAAAATCTTGCATTTTTTGTACAATATAAGCTGGTTGGTCAGATTGTGTCCAGATTGCAGTGTGTGCATGTGGGCTTCATCCTTGGTGTGTTTCTAGGATTGTTTTTTGGTGATAGGAGGGATCATAAGGTGTCCAAATTGAAGTGCCAAAGATTGTGAAAGACTTTCAACGAATGGTTTTCACTCGATTCTAAATTGAACTTCACATTTTCCAGTTGGACAATGCAAAAGAGTACTTCCATAGTGATCTCACGGAGTTCTTCGCTTCGTGTGGATCCCTCCATTGAAGCTCTTGTGCTAGGACACCTCAACAAAACGGTGTTGTTGAAAGAAAAAATCGTTATCTACTTGAAGTAGCTTGTGGTTTATTACTTAATTTGAATGTTCCGAAACGCTTTTGGATGGATACTATTACGTGTGCTGCACATATCATCAACCGTATGCCATCTCGGTTACTAGAGTATAAGGCCCCACACCAACTATTTATTTCCTACAGCTCCGCTATCCCCATTCCAATGCGTGTCTTTGGGTGTCGTTGCTTCGTTTATGACTTGTCACCTACTCGTGGTAAACTCGATCTTCGTGCCACTCCTTGTGTTTTTCTTGGTTATCCATTATCTTAAAAGGGTTACCGTTGCTATGGTCCTGCTCCATGTAAGTACTATGTTTCCATGGATGTATCATTATTTGAGAGTCAACCTTTCTTCTCGGTTTCTCCTTAGGGAGAGAGTAGGGTTGAGGAGAAACACACTTAGGTTCAATTGCCTCCTCTTCCTGATCCTTTTCCATTTCGTGTCTTTCTTTGTTGCCATAAAAGCCAATAGAGTTCAAGAGCCGTGGAACATGAAACTATGCAACCAATATCATCGGACTCTCCAGAGGTAGATCCTCTTTATCAGCCAGGTACACTTGTTCCCATTGATATACCTGAACCTCTTAACATTGATCCCCTTGTTGTTAATGATCTTGATGTTTCTATTGCTAAGAGAAAGGGTGTTAGATCTTGTACTACTAATCATTCTATCTCTCACTTTGTGTCCTATGATCATATTTCACCTTCATACCGTGCTTTCCTTTCCTCTATTGACAGTGTCTCTGTTCCTAAGAATGTAGCAGAAGATTTATCCAAACCTGAATGGATAGATGCAATGAAAGAAGAAATTAATGCCTTACACAAAAATGACACCTGGGAGTTGGTGGATTTTCCTGGAGGGAAGGAACTAGTGGGTTGCAAATGGGTATTCACAGTAAAGCATAGAGTTGATGGTTCAGTAGGATGGTACAAAGCTAGATTGGTGGCCAAAGGGTTTACACAAGTGTATGGAGTAGAATATGCGGAGACCTTTGCTCCAGTAGCCAAGATGAATTCGATCAAAATCCTCCTTTCATTGGAAGTTAACCTTGATTGGGAACTTAACCAGTTGGATATCAAGAATGCATTCTTGAATGGTGACCTAGAGGAGGAGGTTTACATGACCCAACCTCCAGGTTTCTGTGCCAAAGGTAGTGAGCAGAAAGTGTGCAAGTTAAAAAAATCATTATATGGGTTGAAACAATCATCTCGGGCTTGGTTTAGTAGGTTTCATTTAGCTGTACAACAGATGAGATTCAAACAATGCCAATCAGATCATACTTTGTTTGTGAAGAAAGGTGAAGGGAAAATTGCAGCTTTAATTGTGTATGTTGATGACATAATAATCACCAGAGATTGGAAAACTGAAATACAGAAGTTGAAGAAATTCCTAGCTACTCAATTTGAGGTGAAAGATCTAGGCCCCTTACGTTTTTTCCTTGGAATTGAAGTTGCCCGCTCTAAAAAGGGCATCTTTATTTCCCAAAGGAAATATGTACTAGATCTATTAGAGGATACAGGCAAGTTGAGAGTGAAACCAATCGAGTCACTCATTGAACCCAACCATCAGTTGGGAGACAGTCAGGGGGAGTGTTTGAAAGATGTGAAGAAGTTCCAGAGACTTATAGGGAGGCTCTTATATTTGTTTATGATCAGACCTGATATTGCCTATGCAGTGGGTGTCCTTAGTCAGTTCATACATAATCCTAAGACAACTCACTTCGAAGCTGTGAAAGAATCCTTAGGTACCTCAAGAAGTTTCCAGGAGCTGGTTTGCTATTCCAGAAACATGGGCATTTGGAAGTGGAGGTGTATACAGATGCTGATTGGGTAGG